GCCTCACCCTGCCCACCCCCTATCTGTCCGCTATCCTTGATTTTGCGAGCGCAGACACACGAACACCAAACTCGTCCTGAGTGATGCACAAATGCCAAACGTCCGAGCGCATTGTCATCTTTGCGAGAGATACCTATATCACTTGTGGCGCGCGCTCGCAATTGTCGATGCCGCGACCGGCAGTGTGATCGACGAATTTCAATGTCCCTGCATCGATAACAGACGCAACGCGCTCGGCGAGCACGCGGTAAATAAATATAAACCGAGCAATTCAACGGTCCCGGATATATTCGATGATTTTTTTTTCTACCTTCGCGGGGCTTGAATGCGAGCGTTTTTTATCCAATGTTCGACGACCGGGCCGGAATGTACGACGCGACCGAGCCGATAATCTTTAACGGTAACGACGAACAAGCGCGCGCGGGGATCGCTCGGATGGAAACGCGGGCGTTTGGTTGTTGTCACGTTCTCGCTTTTCCCCGGTATATATTACGGACACAGGAGGTATATGCGCACAAGCGCAGATTTAATGGACGCGCACTTCCGATCGAGTACATCGAATGAATTTTCCCCCCTCCGGGGGGATTGGGGGTTGGGGGGGGGGACGGGACGGTATTGCGAAACGTATCACAATGCTGGCCGAGTGTTATGCTGGGGAAATGCGCGCTTTGGAAACAACCGTAGACTGACATTGTACATAAACGCTTGTCGCAACGGCTCTTCTTCGGCTTCAAAAGAAATTTATGCACGTGTAATTTTAAAGCGAAAACGGTATATCGGTGAAAATCGAATTGATAAACACTGAAAACGGAATATCAGAATAACATTAATAATGAAATCAATCGATTAATATTATTGTCTGAATTTACAATCAATGTATATCATTTCAAAGACACACTTTTATAAAAACGACTCGTAACTCGCCACAAAGAGAGCAGATTAATTTCTAAGAGGATAATGTTCTTTAAATATTGGATTTATAATTTCCATTAATTCCAACGATAATTATCAAGCGGCGAAACTTGTAATGTGTTGCGCGACAATCCTATTTCAACATACAAAACTATTATGTGAAAAGATAATGGGGAGAGATAGCAAAAGTTGGGGGTTAGATTATTTTCGCTCGTGATTTCTTCCCAGAATCTCATCGTCATCTTCATTAAAATTCATTTTTCACTTTCTACTTTAAATCGGGATAAAAAGATTCTCTCATCCTCTCGCCCGCGCGCTTTTATCCGCGATAACTTTTCTATTCCCATTACCGAGACCGCACCTGTTAACAGAGATTGTTCGTAAAAATAATCTCCAAGCATAATCCCGCTCGTTCTATGATCATTAATTATCTTTTATCATGTTGTATTTTCCATTTTTCATTTTAATTGATATGGTTAAAAAAAGTATACTATAATGATTATATACATCCGGTAATAAATACTTTCAAATTTTACGTTATTATTTAAAAATGTAGTAACAATAGATTCTCTTAATTATAAATTTGAACTCTATTTATCTAATTTGATTGTAACTTTTTGCGTAATTTCTAAAATTCCATTTCTAAATGTGCTAGATAATTTAAAAATCAATACTATCTTTCAAATTTCTTGTAAACATTTTTTCCTTAAAAACTTACTACGTCATCTTAAAATATAGTTCTGAAATTAGCGTATCATCACACACATTCAAAAGTTTTTAGCCGTAAAATTACTACACTGCATCAAATTTCAGTTTTGAAATTTTCGTTACAAAATTAGGATATTAGATTTGTATTTACATCACAAATTCATATCAGATTCCCGGAGACTATGTTTCACGGGAATAACATTAGAGCTATGATATCAATTGGTTTCAACTTTCATTTGAATAAAACAACAATATGATCAATTTGCATCAACAAGTTTCTTTGAGAGATCACAAAAGCATACGGCAAATTTATTTTCAAATGTTAAAATACTAAATCGCAAACACAGTAAATTACACAATAGAAATTTTATTTTTAACATGCATTGTCGTATGACTTATTGCAGCCGAAGAAGCGCGTCGCGACGATACACACTTATTTGCTTGCGTAGAAAGAAACCTTTTGAGTATAAATATATATGTATGTAAATACGTAGCAAGCAGCTTACAGTTCGGGAAAACCGTACGTGAAAAGAGAAAGAGTGATGGACGATTTATGTTTTTTTCGTGATAATAAAAGGCTTGGACACGCGGAAAGGCACGCGAGGCTGGAACGCAGAGAAGATGTGTGGAGCGATGTCGTGGAAACATCGGAAGGGAGTGCAAGCAGAGGAGAAGAAGACCGAGAGGAAAATATATAAATCGTCGGTCGTGACGAAAAAAAAAAGAGATTAACGAAAATTAGAAGCTTGCTTTTAAACGAACGTTTTTCTTGACTGTATCGCACGTACAGGGTTATAATCCAATGATATGTCTTCTCTTGGTGCTTTTTAAAGATAGAAAAATCAAATAATTATTTATGTTTTAATAAATAAATAGAATTATGCTGTTTTATTATTAGCTCTTTCAGACAATTTACGCTTAACTCATTAATAAAATATAAAATTTACATATATGTATATTATGATATTTAAGTAAGGTTATTTAACTTAAATTGGTCATTTTAAGATTAATATTATTTTAAGATTAGATTCATTTTAATTCATTTAATCTTAAAATAATATTAATGATGTAACAATTATATAATTAGTATCTTTATATCACTCTGTAATAACTAACAAAATAATTTCTTCGAAATCAGGAATATATTTAAAAAATGCGAAAGTACGAAAATTCGTGAATATAAAGATTGACAGATTTTGCAAAGATCTAACATTTAGGAATCTCTATATCTTTAAAGATGTTCTAAGTAAGTTTTAAAATTTTCATATTTTTTTCAAGTATCTTGGGATTTCTAACTTTTCAGATATAAGGATCTTCGTGATTTTACATCCAAAGACCTTTCGTACAATTTTGTGATATAAAAATTGTATTTAAAAAATCCATCCATGTTGTAAAAAAATCAAGAAACTACAGATTCATCGTTTACAATATCAGATCTCAATTTAAAGATTTGAAATATTAATTATAAATGAGAATTAAGTAGAAAAAAATTATTGGCACGAATAGCTAGTTTGAAAGAGTTAAATAAAAATTAAAGCGATGTAGATCAGTACTTTTTTAGGATTAAACCCCTGCACATTACACGACTACACATACATAGTTGCTATATGTATGGTCTGCGACATGGAATGAGTCTTGACACGAATAAAATTAAACCTCGAGGACTGCTCTTAGTTTGCTCACATTTTTCTTCTTCGTTTTATCTTCTCAACAAAATTTCACCGCGTAACCGCTTCTGCATGCAAAATTAACTCTGCTTCGGTCTCCTCAAAAACCGCGAGTGGAGCACGAAGGTTCCATTAAAAAATCCTTCAATATTGTTCTGGCGAAAATCTTAGATACCATTAACAAGATACTTTCATTCTGAATTTTATCGGTTTTTCTTGCTGTAAATTTTATACTATTTTCACTATAAATTAAATAGTAAACTTTCTCATATATATAAATATATGTCTATCTTCAATATTTATTATATATTAAAAACTGTTTTCAATAACTCTCCGCTGTTAATATTGTATTATTATCTGCTTAATATTTTGAGAATTATATACGCGAATTGTAAAAAAAATAAGGAACATTCGTGAATACCCGCAGGTTCGAAAACCCTTCGGGTTAAGATGCATTAGCAGAAACGTTAGGATTTGTTTCCTATCTTTTAGGAACAAATAGCGAAGGAGAGGCAGGTGACCGGCCGCATACAGATCCAGGTTTCGTACGAGGCGGAGCGCAAAGAATTGGTCGTTTCGGTTTTTATGGCCGACGACTTATGTACGCGAGAAGACACCGGATTCGGCTCCTTGCCGGAGGCTTTCGCTAAGCTTATCCTTGCTCCGCCATCGTAAGTCCATGGACATCTCATAAATTCTCGGATTGAATGTATCCGACACGTTGGTCTTCCGCAAATTCGATTCTTGACCGTATATAAAACTTATACGATACCAAACGAAATGAAAGTCATAAATTTGATAAATTCACACAATACAAAAAGAAATTAAAATTTAATTAAGAGAAATTATATTTTGAAATTTAGACTGATTGATTAATATTTAAAAGTTTTTTCGCGTAAGCGCGATTAACGTGTTTAATTGTTTTTCCAAGAGCTTCGCCAAATTAATTTCTTTTTCTTCGCTTATCTTTTGTTTACTCTATGCTTCGATGCTTAAAATGATTAATCACTTGCGACCTTCACAGCGGCGATGCAGCCCCGCTGAAAACTATCGTAGCTGAGCCGACCCAGAAACCCATCTGGAACGCTACATTGTTCTTTACCGGAGTTGATGGCGAGAGCCTGATGGAACGTGCTATCGAGGTGACTCTCTGGGATTACTGTCCCGATGGCGATAATGTGTTCCTTGGTGAATGCACTGTCGATGTTCAGCGAGCACTTGAAAATGACAGAGCGGTTTGGTAAGTTTTTTAAACGGTTGAAGAACTTCTTGCCTTAACTAGTTATAATGATCATAATTCAGCACGTAGTATTTAATGATAATAGTCGAAGTGAAATAATCTACAAGTTTTGCCAGCAATTATTATAATTGCTATAATATTTAGAAATTGTTATAAGTAGAATATGATTAACAACGATCATAATTTGGCGCATAGCGAGTATTTGTAATAGACACAATAAAATAATCTTCAGCTAAACTATGCTTAGAAAATTGTTATAAATTAAATAGAATAAGTATTTTAAAAAGTATATTAATAAAATAATTATTAATTATTATCAATTGTAAGGAAAGGGTGGGCAAATAGTGACAGGGGGCAAATAATGTCACTTTAAATTTCTCCTCTTTCTCGCGTCTATTTTACCACTACTCGTTAATAGAAAGACAGTTCTCAAGCATCTAATCATCTTCTGAAAAAGCCGTAAAAATCAAAAGCCAAATATAGCTAGCGAAGAAGTTTAAAATTTTGCATTCGTGAAATAAAGTAAAACCTGGATCTTTTTTTGATATTTGACGTTATATTTTCTTAATAGCTGAATCGTTGAATGAGATCTAATCTATTTTATTTTATACCTTTTTCCTCTATTTTGATATAATTTTTATGCTTGTATATTAATTTTATTTCTCTCACAATCAGTAAAGTTTTAAAGGAAAAAGTATAGCTCCTAGAATAAATAATGACAATTTTCAGTTGAGTAAATAATGACAAGTCAAAAAGCTTTTTTAATATTTGAATATGATTTTTCTAATTTATTTGGGATAATATGAGATATAGAAGGCAAGGTCCAGAATAAATGTGATTTTCAATAAGAAATACTAGCAAATAATGTTACTACTATTATTTATCAATAAATAAAAATTTACATATGATAAAGTATAGAAATTAATATAAATCACCTTATCTAATGAAAATGTCAAAAGAAAGATCGATTAGAAGCTAAGAATTATGTATTTTGTAATTGTCCCATAGAGTGGGGCAAATAGTGACAAATGTAGGTTTCAATTTTTATAAAAATCTAGCCAGTATACATAACTTATGGAAACTCTAATTAAGTTTTTTGTACATTTAAAAGTGGAAAGTACTCTTTTAGTAAACTTGTAAACTTGAAATTAGCTTGTAGGGAAGAGAGGAAAAATCCGTCACTATTTGTCCTCCCCCCCCTTTCCCTTACTATAAATGTATTAAATATTAATATGTGAAATCTACAAATATTAAATATAAGTATAGACGCGTCGCCAAGTAGATAAACTAATTGACGCGACGCGAGTTGTATGTTGATCAAATCAATGATTAACAATAATTGCAAAGAATTGAGATTTCATTGTGTCACGTGTGTCCGAAATATCGCAATCTATGGAATGTCAGGTATCGTCTGGAGGATCCACGCGGACTTCGAACGGGCAAATCGCCGTACTGCTCGCCGCGCGGCTCGGTATCGATGGACCCGCACATCGCCCAGAGACTGTTCAGGAAGGAACTGCGGGATCGTAGCTACAGCGATGATACGCAGAGCGACAGCGGTAGCCCGGAGTTTTGCTTCCTGCATCCGGACCACGCCTGGCACGCCAATTCCAGACGCGGTTCCAGCCAGTCCGAGCAACTCGAGGTTGAGCCGTACGAGCTCAGTCGGGATTACAGCAGATCCCTGCCGGGTAGCCGCAGGAGCAGCTTCCAAAGTCAAGGCGGCACCGATAGCAAACGTGAGTGTCATGGATTCGACACGGTCCAATTTCTCTTTCGGAGAGAAATCGCTGGCGGGGATGCAACGGCGCGTTAGTAAAAGGATCTTCCTCAAATAATTTCTATTAGTCTCTCGGCCGAGAGAGATGAATTACAAGGCTTAATTGCGAGAATATTTAATATTATAGTAGTCGGAAGGGTAGAATTTTAATTGTGAAGAAATGATACTTTTTTAATTAAATTCATATCCCTCTATTCAAGATTCAAGAGGAAATTCAAGATTCAAAGAAATTTTAATTTTTAATTCTGCCCTAACTAATAATTTTTATAATATAATGTGTAACTGTTACGCAAAAAATATAATGAGTAAAAAAAGATTTGGACAAAGATTATTGAACAAATTTTTTTTACTATGCATGCACGGAAAGAACTGATTTTGTTGAAAGATCTAAAAATTTTGCTAAATACTACAGATCTGAAAATAATTCTTGTTCAATCATCAAAATAATTTGTTGGAAAGTTAAAAATTATAAGTGTTGCTATAAAACATTTTGATATTCCAGCAATCACTGTGACTTTCCAACAAAATTATTTTGATTATTGAACGAAAATTATTTTCAGATTTGGATCCAACAAAATTGTTCTTTCCATGTGTAAAATTTAAATTTAAAATCCATATGATATCTAGCAGTAAATCATTGTGATATAGGTTTTTTTTATGCGTCTTTAAGTTGGCGTTCGAACAAATTTCGAGCGCATTTGCCAAATGGCGCATTTGGTACGCGAAAATGAAAGAAAATCTTAGAATGTAAGAACTTCAAATATCTATACCTTCTGAAAGGATTTCTTGTCAAAATTTTCGATATCGTTCGCGGATACTCGACCCAGTAAACCGTGTTCCGCTTTCCGTTGCAAGCTGGCCATCAGCCTCAAGTAAACTCACCCTTCTTCTTCCTTTCAAAGATGATAACGATAGAGTGGGACTATCCGTGATGCTATTGTTGGGTAGCCTCGAGTACTGCTTGGCAGCGCACTTGGCACGCTTAAGTAACAGCTTCCTCGATTATCGCTATTCGATTACGTCACTTCAGCGAGAAGACGCCCGTGTAAACGTTGTAAACAACAGAAATCGATGCATCGCGAAGTAAAAAATAGCAGGCATCAAAGAGGCATTAAAAAAACAAAAGGATAACATTATAATATTTTTTTTATGAAAACTAAAAATATTTAATAATTCACAATTTATAATAACTATCGACAGTTGTAAATTTTCAAAGTTAAATATTTACGTTAGATAGAATTAAATTTCATTTCGCGAAGCACGGATAAAAGATGCCGATTAATCTTGGATATTATTAATGTATGATTTTCACATACAAAAAAAATGACTTAGCATTATCAGTTAAATATCAGTAGGTAGTTCGAACTTTGCTGTCATTGTTAAAAATTAGCTATTAAAGATAAAACATGTTTGTTGGAAGATACAATTTTAATAAGCTAAAATGAAAACGTACTTTAACAGATAGCTAAAAAAGTGACATTTATGGAAACAATGATTTCGCTGAAAAATTTAAAAGTTTTGCTGGCTATTCCTCAATAAAATTAGCTAAACGTCATTTGATTCTAGAAACAAATAGTTTTTGCTGTATCGCCTAAATTTTAATAACTAAAATAAATTTAGCTTTGGCAGTAACAATATTAGCTGTCCCTAATTTAAAGACACATTATCTGTCACGGCTATATTTTAGCTGCGTTAGCTAACCCTTTCTCTGCGTGCATAATTATATCTAATTGCTCCTACTTTAAATTTGTCCCACACGCAAAAAAATGGCTTAGATAATAGTAGCTAAATTTCAATAGCTGAATCAAACTTATTGTTAGTTATAAGAGCTACAGTCTTAGTGTCATTGCTAAATTCTGATTCTAACAGATAAAAAACATTCACTGTGACAAAAAAATTTATTAACTGAAATTAAAAGCATATATTAGTACAGGCAGCTAAAAAGATGGCATGCGTACCTAAATGTCTTATCATGCACACATTTAGCACACAGAGCTAAGTTTATAGCTACGCGCGAAAATTTGATTTGTAATTGTTTTTGCAATGTGGCACTGTCATATGCACATCTACAGCGCATTTAGCATTTAGCATTTATATTTTGCAGTATATGTATAAGCTATATACTGCAAATATTATTACTCTATTGCGAAGATAAAATAGCATAGATTCGGCTAAATATCATTTAATTTTAGCAGCAAATATTTTTTGCTTTAACACCTACATTTTAATAACTAATAAATTGAACTTCGGCAGCACGACATTAGCTGTTCCTATTTTAACGACACAGCTTAGCTGCCATAGTTATATTTTAGCTTCATTGGCTAATCCTTTTTCTGCGTGCAGGTGGTAGCATGGGCGAAACCGACGCTATAGTGTACTACAATCGCGATCGACGGCGAAGCTCGTTCACCAGACCGATGAGGGATCCCGAGGAGATCCTGGAGGGTCTGCGAGCGTTGAAGGCGACCAAGGGGGAGCTCAGCAGGACCATGAGCCTCTCCGGCGACAAGAGACGCGGCAGCCGTGAGTATAAACGTTTTCCTCGCTTCTTCTTGGCCATCACTTCGCTCGTACGTTCGTCCGTCGTCCGTCTGTTTGTTTGTCTTTGTGACCTCCCCATTCGTCACATTCCACCACGACCCCTCTGCATTTTGTGATACACTTTTTCTCTTTTTCTGTCTCTCTCTCTATTTTATCACTGTTGTTCAACGTCTCGTTGGTAACCATCACCGTGTCACCATCACCGCATCTGGTTTGAGACTCATTAATTAAAGTCATGCCATAATCGTGCATCCAGATGTATGTAAGTGTGCGAGTGCGCGTGTCTGGGTGTTCATGTCACCGTGTCACACGTGGTTGTCCAACCATATATTTGTTATGTATGTGCGTTCCATGAGTCACCTGCCTGTTTCTTTCTCTCTATTAATTGTTTTTTCTCCCTAGTTCCTATTTTCGATTTTTAAAATACAATTTTTGTGTAGAAAATCAAATTTCACCAACCTACTCATTATTCTATGACTTTTTAAAAATATTCTAGTTATCTGTTCTATTCTTTTTACATAAACTAAAATTTCATCAACTTCCTCATCGTTCTACGACTTTTTAAAAATATTCTAGTTATCTATTCTATTCTTTTTTACATAAATTGAAACAAGAGGTAAAGAATTTAGAAATTCTTACCAAAATAAAAGTACTGATTGAAGATTAATTAAAGATTTTTATATTTTTCACTTAGAAAAAATCCGATTCAAATGTAAATCTATTTAATTAACTGATATAACTTGCAAATATATTTTTGAAGTAAAAATTCTTTGGTAAAATTTTGAAAACATTTCTTATTTTTTACTCTTGCATCTATGTACTATTTGTTATATGACACGAAGAAAGCAGGACACTTTCGCGACAATTATCTCCTTAACGTATACATCTTCAGTGCCGTAAAAAAGATATTTTTTACATTCTTCAATTTTTTGAAACTATTGTACTGTAGAAAATCAAACAACAATTCTTTTCATCAATTTTATTTTGTAATCACATTCCTAATCATATTCGATGTAGTCTTCATCTACATGTTTATGAACCCCTTTTTTGTAGTATTAGAAACCTTTCCTTCAATTGTTCAACATTTTTATATTCGAATGTCGATGCAATTATTATTTATCTGTCTCGCACTATCACGTCCCGTCGACTCCGCGCGGTTTGACCGAGCGAACGATCTTGATATGCAGAGGAATTTCTCACACGTTTGTCAAAAGCCGTGTTTTTGTCCCAGTTTATGGAAACTAAATCGGACGGATCAAAGCGGGAATAGCCCGACCTGGAAAGGATTTCGACAAGACTTCGGGATACGATCGACTTTTATTATAGATTTTCGTGTCTAATGTCGACCATGACGATGACCGCCTTCGACCACTCGCCCTCTGTTTTAACGTCCTCAATTGTGCCTCGTCGCTTATCTCATCGTTCATATATACGCTCGACGTTCGATTCGGCAATTCTTGGATCAGGCTGCAAATACTTCGGGGTCCTGGATTTTGAGACTGCAAATCTCCAATGAGCGTTCGCCGAGAAGCGTTCGTCGCACAGGTTCGCCCGAGCTGCAGCGCGGAACTGATTCGTCGGCGTCGGGAATGGAATTATCGAGCGAGAATCAAAAAGTATATATAGAGAGCGTCTCGTCGGATCACCGCCGCCGTGTGGGTGCCATCGTGGGGGCTTAAACAAATCCATCGTGCGGCATTTCTCGCTTGGGGAAATTTCTGCGAAATTTCAAGCTTCGCTCGTCAATCATCCTATAGCTCCGCTTTTTTTTTCGTCTCTCGAGGAGTCATCGTCCCGGTCGACGGAATATATATATATATATATATACTCGAATTTCGACGTGGTTTTATATCGACGTCAAACCACCACCGTTCATGCTGCCTCGTGTGCTGTCTGTCTCTCGCTCTGCTTGCGTTCCACGAAGAGGTCGATGTGACTCCCGCGCCAAAAATCAGCAAAAAAATAACGCGATCACGTTCTGTGCTCTTTCTGCTCATCTGTATTTTGCGATCGCTGTTGCGCGCCGCTGTTGCCTGTTGCTGATTGCTCGTGTCGTCTCACAGCCTGAAAGTAATAAGACTCGAATCCCTGCTGCCGTTGTGCCTCAGGCTTTTACGAAATGAGAAACAGTATTCCATCACCACCACCGCCGCCACCGCCGCCGCCGCCGCCGCCGCCGCAATCGCCGCCGCCGCTGTCGCCAATGTGATCACAATAGCGGAAGACATAATTCGCTGTTGTGCTTCTCTTGTGCCGTTGCACGCACGTGTGTGACTTAATTTTCGCGCCGCGACCTTCCGCTCTCTGTTGCTCTCTCTCTTTCTGTCACTTTCTGTTCTTACGCTGTTCAGCCTCTTATCCTCCACTCCTCCGAGTGTTGTTTGCCGTATTGACTCCGAGCGTGCGATATATAAGAGATGCGCTACCGATCGTTCTATCAGCAATATTACCGTTTCTTCGACTTTCAGGCTTAATGGTCGCTTTAGCTGGCGGCTTCTGGCACGTGTTGAACGCACGAAGTCGATTGCGATGATAATACGTTAGTAGTAATGAAAATCTTTCGTACAGCCTTCAAGAAATTGATAACAAAAAAAAACAGTTTATAATATTTAGTGGCGATTATAATCGACGCTTTGTGTACATTAGTATATTGAATGTAATCCAATTTTCTTAATTCTTGGCGATATTATGCTTGGCAGTACGTTCCATTCCGCTATATTACATATTGATTTTTTAAACATGTGGAAACAAATGTTTTTTACATAATATGACTTACACGCTAACAGAATTCGCAAAGTTGAAGTAACATTTTTTCCGCGATGTAAAATTAACTTTAATTAGTTCGGCATGAAATTGCCGTCACTTTTATCTGCTGACGGCTAAAGAAGATAGTATACAGTTGCGTTACGAGGAAGTAGGCTTTGAATTGCGCATGAGAAAGAAGTTGGCTGATGTTTTTGGAGCACGTATGAAAACAATGAATGAATTCAATGACGCGGGTCAAAGTGCTCCTCACAATTATCCCTGCCTATACTCAGCCTCCTCGCTTTCGCTCAAAAACTACGGCCGAGCTATGCGACGATCCGGCTCGTCGACAGTATATAAGTATAGTCGCTGCGTCGAATATTCGAAGCGATCATTAAGCGCGCCCCGACGCCGCCAAAAGACTCGCAATCACCCCCAATCAGTTTCTCGCCTTCCGACTCTCCCTGTTGACCTCTGTGTGCATCTTCGTTCAATTTCGTAAAGTGCACGGGCTCGAGCGCAGCGTGCACCTTAAACTTGACGCCTCACTGTATTGCTGATTATCTTGATATCCTTTCTCGGTCGGCACCGTCCGCCAATGCCAAAACTCTGAACGCTCCCCGTACTCGGCTCGAATCGCGAAACACTCGGTTCGCTCGGTCGAAACGCCATCGGCCATCGTCACGACCCCGATTATCGACGACAAATCGTGGGCCACGCACGCACGACCAACCAACCAACCAACCAACCAACCAACCAACCAATCAACCAACCAATCAACTAACCAACCAACCAACCAACCAATCGACCACCATCGACCACCAACAACGACAACAGAGTGCGTAGTCCCAACAGTTACTGTGTGGCAGTGCGAGCCTGTGTCTCCGAGGACCGGTAATTCGGCCTCCTTCCCATTGCCGCACTCCACACCACCTCGATAAATAATCGCAAGGCACTGTCAACCAACGTTACGGGCTTCCGGTAAGACACACTCTTTCTCTATCGCTCACTGTCTATCGCTCTTTTCCTCTCACTCTCTTTCTCTTTCTCTCTCTCTCTCTGTCTATCTGTACTTTGAGCAGAATCTCGCTTCTAATTTTTGCCCCTTTAGTTCATCCCTTTTAACAGACGGTATCGTAGTATTTGTTCTGCAACGAAGAGAGAATAAGAACGGAGTATAGGTTTTATACAATATAGATATAGCAAAACTGTTGATGTTAGAGTTCCATTAGTTCGAAATAGACGAAAGTAGAAACAGACTAGAAAAAGAAAAAAGTAGAAATAGGATTTTCTATTTCAAAACTCCCAAGTTTGAATCCTCAGATACAGCTTCAAATTCGACGAACCCTTTATTTTTTTTCTGACAGTGATATCATTTGCGCAATTTTAGTATAAAAAAAATTAACAATTCTATGGCAAAACATTAATTCCATTAGTGATATCATGTTTTATTCAGAGATTTAATATTTAATGAATATTTTGTCATATCAATTTAATGAAAATTTTGTTTTATATTTTCATTTATTTAACAGTACTTTAATTTTTTCATAATTTCTTTACAAATATTCAAGTAAATTTTATAATAAAAATTTTGTAATGAAGAAAAAGATTTTTTGGCAAAATTTATATGATCAACAAATATTTTTTTATACATTACATAAATAACAACTCGTCTATGTCTATTGTTCGTATGTACTGAATATATTTTTTCCTTTGCGATCTTTGTATTTTCTCCATTGTTTTATTTTATTGTTCCGTTCTAAAATTCTTACTAGAGAAAGAAAAGGTAGACAAGATACTTAACGATAAAAGAATTTGAAAGAAGTACATTAAGTATATTAATTATACCATTATATTATTGATAGAGAATACCGTTCTGATATCTCTCACGTTTCGCTTCTTTATTTTTGCACTTCTATTTTTTTTCTCTCCCTTTGCGCGCACGTGCCATTAATTTGTCTTTCCCCCGATACACGCCACATTGTATTTTTCAAAGGCGCACGCAACGTCATTTATCATAAAGGCAAGGAAAGGATAACACATTGATAAAACTTCACCCGCGAAATATTTTCTGTCCCTTTTGCACGCGTCTTTCGTGATCCTATCGTAATATAATTTTTTACAACGAGATTAATTATACTTCTGTTTAGTTTTGCAATTACTCGGGTATATCATTAATTTCCAGCTTGCGTTCCATCGTACTCCATTTCATCTTCTACTCTCATTTATTAGTCCAGACTCCAGTTAATCATTCTAAGCGCCAAGAGTAAGTGCGTTAATTCCTCGCCATCTTCTAATTAACTTTATTCCTTTTTCTCTCATTCCTCAGGATTATATCTTTTGTAAATTTGATCGCGGGACAAGTACTTAAAAAAAAATAATATCTGCAACACTTTCCCCTGAAAATGCCTTTATTATTTCATTCGACTTTGTTAACTATCAACATTTCTTAAGTACCAAATTCAGTTTAATTAGCAATTATAACTTTATTATTACATCATAATAGTTTCGCAGAACTACACGCGCGCACCAATTTTGCGCATCTTTAGTTATTTTAACATTAACAACTTTGCGCATAACTTTCATAACTGATTGATAGATGAATAAATTTACAATTGATAAGAGGAGCATCTATATATACATATATACAGACGTTTGCTCGTGCGAACGTTATTTATTTATTTATTTAATAATATATTGCGGAAATAGCGAAATTTTTCGAGTCATCTGCAGACAGGTGAGTAATAAACAAAAATACCTTATCCTCACTCCTTACTGCAAGCCTTCACGGCTTCCTTTTTGCTTCTCTTTCCTAAATTTTCTTGCAATTAGAGCGAATAGCGCTTTGGAATATTTGCTTGAGCGCACTATTAGCATTTAAAGATAATTTGAACGCTAGCCAATTACTGCTACTGTTGCTACCTACAATCGTGATCTTAGGTAAGAGAAGTCGAATGCCATTGTCGTATCGTTGCACGTCTTTAGCACTATATTGACATGAACATCTGACACAAGTAGAATTTTTATTATCTAAAATGATAACATTAAAATTTATTAATATTGATTTATCTGACAAGTTGTCTCTGTACTAACTATACGAGACATCTTTTTACTGATTGATCTCTGTATACTACGCCTACTTCAAAGTTGTTATTTTCACATTTATCTTTTAATTATTTTATTTTTTTATTCTTCTTAAATATATCTACGCGCGCGCATATATATTTAAAATGTTCTATTTGACGCTTAGTTAAAAAAATAATTGTGCCGAGCAACGTTGTATGCAAAAATGTTTTAGCGATGAAAAGATAAAATTAATGTATGGATATATACACAAATATGATGTATCGATAAAATAGTATTTTTATTGAATTTTTTGACAAAAAATTCTTAAATGTAAGAACACAACATCTAAAATTTATAATTAATATTAAAATAAGAATACAAGATCAAAATTTGGGATATACATACAGTAATACTTGTAGAAATAAATGAAAAGTATTTATAAACAACCCCAATATTATTTCTTATATCGGAAAAACTAGAAATAAATCAGTTGAAAATATAATTTTAAACGCAAATCCTTCTGTTCAACAATTAAATTATCCATAACTTTGACAAGAAGATATTCATCAAGAGAATTATAATATGTGTCCTATAACAAATAATGAGGAAGTGTAAATGTAAGAATCATAATGAGAACTTCAGAAGGAACATGTTAACAATAGAACAAGGACGAACTATTAGCTCGCCAAGCTTCTAATTATCTTATTACAGCTATCGAGACTGAACTTCCCTCTTCGTAGAGTTGAAACTCCCTGCTATCGTTGGTACTTTGGAGCCGAAGTTTGTATCTCACTTCTATGTAGAGAGTACGCGTTTCTGGAATTTATTACATACATCTACCTAATTCAGAAAGCTTCGGTCGTTGAATTTCACGATTCGGTTAGCAGGTCCATTGGCACCGATTGAATTGCTTGCATAGAAATCCTCACTGCATATTCTTGTAGGTACACGGAAAGAACGATTTTGCTGGGAAGTCTAAAAATTTTGTTGAATAATACAGATCTGAAAATAATTTTGTTGGATCACCAAAATAATTTTGTTGAATGCTCAAAAATGATGAGCGTTACAGTAAAACGTTTTGATATTCTAGCAACCAGTTTAAATTTCCCAAAAGTGTCACTTTAAATAAGACGATTCACATAATATTATCGTAGGATGCTCGAAGCAAGTTTTAATAAACATTTTAAGAAAAAAAGTTACTATGTGTTACGTTAACAAGAATGCAGATTATTCCTTCCAATCATATACTGAAATTCACACGACTGAAGATGCTTTGCAGCTGTCGTATTGTTCAGTAGGAAGCTTCTCTGAGAGATTTGTTGCAAAACTGAGTTTGAAATTACAAGCCCGTAGCATTGACCCTTCTGATTGGCAGGTGTAAATTGTTTCATTCAATTGCAACTTAACTGTAATCTGTATGGAACTGTGCACTCAGAAGATCGCTCAAATCTAGAAATGTCAATTGTTAGAATTAATATTGTGAATTTTCGAGAAGAGTATTGCCATTCAATGAATAAGTAATATCCTGATAAGTGATAACACAGATTTCTGCGTGCAATGCCGTACAGTTTGCAGCCGGTCCGATGTGATCAATAGTGTGAAAAGATATTTTTCAACTCGTAGGGCGGGGTGAGCGCAAAGACAGCGTCATGGAGATTCCTGAGAGATTTTACGATCGAAATAGCGAATCCGACGAGGACGAGAAATGCAGGTACGCGATCCATCTTTCGTGACAAGTTAAAACGGATCAATCACTTTATTCTATTCACATTTTCGATGTGTTTATTATCGATTCATCAATTACGCTTTATATCATATCGCGTCGTTGATATTTTAGTTCAGTCATCGTACATGCAACGATAGGGGAGCGGACTCTGAATATCATCCTGTATTGATATTCATTAAACTAAACATAATTGAATCTGTATGATATAACTTTTGTTATTGCAGTCAGTCAGCGAGAAATGAAAATGGCGTCGATCTGAAACTGGGTCGCGGACAGTTGCTGCCGAAAGGATTCAAAATAAATAGTGGTAAAATATTCGGTCCAATTTCCTATAATAGTTCCCTTAAGATTAAATTCTTATCATTTTCGCAAATTCTTATCTCTATTCAATATTTTATCTTGATTTTGTTGAAAATACAATTTCGAATGACTAAAAAAAAAGTTCTTGCTGAAAATACACTTGATTGCGCGATGTGATTTTGCTCAATTGATAAATTACAAAGTTAAAACAAACATTTATTTTTTGATTTATTAAATCTCGATTTATTTATCGATATTTCATTAGAATTTTTCTTACTACAATTTTGCTTGCGTATCCATTTCATTGCGAATGCAAACGTTGCAGGAGCACAGAACGGCGAAGTGCAGCTGGGCTTCTATATGTGCAAGGGAACTCTCGAGGTCGAAGTTATCTGCGCGAGGGATATTTGTCCCGAGGAGAAGGAGGAGCCAGGTAATTTGAGGGATGCGCCCTCTCCTCTCTTTGCCGCTGTTAATTTCCCCCCATTCGAGTTATTCGTTCCTGTTTGCAGTTACTATAAAATTCTCGCAACGTAGTACCTTTGAGAACCTCCCGGGCGATCTATCCTCGCGCGAGCGTTAATTCCGTAGCCGTTACTTTTACGGCGTGCGGGTGTTCGGTCTTGATTATTCATGCATTACTTTAGCGTTTAGAAACAAATTTCCGAGCGAGACGCTCAACGCGCCGGTTAATCGCGACGACCTACATCCACTAACTTGGTAAGGCTTATTAAGGTCGAAACTACGGTAAAACCGTGTAACCGTTTTTATGAATATTTTGAAGATAACCAAGCGCTAGCTTAGGTTTTTTTTTATATTTTAATTCGTAAAAAGAATTTTTTAATAAGATTTAATATAACAAAATTTCTTCCTTTCTTTCTTCGTTTCTACTTTTACGTATGATAAAAAGTTTCTTTGATCTTCAATTGGAAATTCATAAAAGAAGAAAATTCTTTTCACTCACGAATACGCTGAAAATATCATCTCATTTTAAGGCTATTTTCCCTTAGAAAAAGAAGAGTATTGACGGCGAAAATTTTTATCCTTGTCCGTAGATACTTACGTGAAGACGTACTTGCGCGAACGAGACGGCGACAAGTGGCTGCAGAAGCGCAAGACCCGCGTGGTGCGACACTCGAAGACCCCGCAGTACCGGCAGACGCTGAAATACGGACGCAGCGACACTCTGCAGGGCAGGCACTTGCTGGTGATGCTGTGGGAGAAGAAGCAGACCTTCGAGAGCAACCAGGGCCTGGGCGGCGCCGAAGTGGATCTCGATCTGCTGCCGCCGAAGGAATTCATCTTCGACTGGTATCCGCTCTTCCCGATCCACACCCTCGGCACGAACAACGCGGACTCGCCATGATGGCTAAGGGAAAAGTGGGCCCTCGAGGCCGGCGAGCTCGACCTCAGATTGAGCCTTTTGCTCAAGGACGAGGGCGAGCCCGTCGTCAAGATCATCTCTTGATGGAAATCGTGGCTGATGATTACGTGGCCGCAATGTCGGCTGGCTCGAGTCCAACGCGATCTCGATCTTCGCGTGACAACGGCGCTCTTTATTATTACAAGTCTTTGAATGTGGCGACGAGGCTCACGTTGTTCCAGAAGGCAATTGAAGTTCGCGTCGACGAAATTTCCGTCTTTCTGTGTTACTGCGACTTTTCAAGTTACGACTTGTACATAACACTTAACAACAGCGCGTGCAGATGTGTTCAAACAGAAAAATACTTTTATTTCATTCAATCGATCAGAATTATATACGATATACATATTATTAATTTAAATAATAATATTAATTTAAATCGGCATAATTGGCTGGTATTAAATCGATTAATGTATTTTATAATTGTTACTTAATCCAAAAGTGCAAACAAGTAATTAATGAACGATATCTACCGGTTGAATGTTTGATTATTTACCAACATTTGCAAATATAAAATGTTTAAAAAAAAAAGATTTATTTCTAAAATCGGAATTATTGAAATATTACAATAAAAGATTTTTATCTTTCCTTTTAAGAAAATATAAAGTTAAAACAGATGTCGCGGAACACGGAAGTTTCAGATATATCATCGCAATGTATAAAGTGATTCTCAAAAATAATGAGATCAGTCAGTAACACGGATCGATCATCTGTCATGTGACAAATCTTGATTGAATGAGATCGATGATAATGCGTAGCGTATAACCGGAAGACAATCAATTTCAGAGGGCTTATATACAATTGTTTAAGAAGACAATCAACTTTAAAAAAAATTGTAAAGACGTAAACGCTTCCATATTGAACTTACGCTTGTGGGACGACGTCAGAGCGTCAGCGTCGTCGCGTTTCGAGCTACGACGAAGAGACGAAGCGAGAAGGAGAGCGTGGGCAAGGAAAATAGATTCGAGAGAACCGAGTTCCTTCGATTAACGCCTTTCGAGATCCGCGGAGTGTTTTGTCGGCGCTCCGCGGTGATTTTAGCAATAAAGGTGTACCTGTGCAAGTCTCGTTCGCATCAGCAGGGCGAAAGAATTGAAAGGTACGGAGAGTTTATTTTTCGACGAGTTACTACAAGAGAAAGAGAGAGAAAGATAAGCGGAGGCAGCCATGTATATCCTGACGAAATGATATAAGGGTCCATTTTTCCCGAAACAAATGTAATATCGGCGAGAATACGTCGATGACTGCGCGAATGCGAAACACGATCGACATCTGCCGCCGGCGGCGGTGATTTCATCTGGTTGATCCAGTCAGTGATTCGATCGGATTTCGCACGTGCTAATTCAAATATCGATACAAACGGGGGTTGTAGAGTCCTGTTTGATCTTACTACGCCGACGGGGTGCTTTCAGGATTCGCATTTTCAAACAATCTCTTTGTTCGGCTTAATTGACATGTAACTCTGATTTGTATTATCTTATACTCTGTTTTAAATTTCACTTATATAAATGTTAATTTGTTGTACAAACACATTACATCAACGTACGTTATAACGCAAATATCGTATAAACTGTATTATTACAAAATCTCAAATTATATTGTAGATAGGGATTCAGAATTTTTTTTTGTATACACACAGAGCCATTCCAAAAAAAAGTGATGACTATGGGAAAATAGGAAATAGCCGAATCGAATGGAAACGCCTCGATCGGCGTACTTGACTACTTAAATGCTTTAACTATTTAATGGTAGACAATCGTTTCAAGGCTCGCTGGCCGAGCCGACGAACAAAACAAAACAAAACAAAAAAAGAGAAGCAATTAGCTTGAGGTGGTGGCGAGACGAGCGGATAAGTTCCCGGAGGTAACTTCGCGGCCAACTTGAATAATAACCAACCAAACTCGGTGTTTTAGAAGTCGCACAATTTTTGTAGCTCGTAGACTGATAGCGGGACTTCGACGTTTCTCATGGATGTAACGACGTCCCGTTTTGCGTAGCGTCTCGAAGATCACTATGAACTCCGCGAAGCAATCCCGGACAGATTGGCTACGAAAAACACACACAAAAAAAAAGAGGAAAAAATTGACAGAGACGACGTATAGGAGGAAATCCATGTGGCGGCGCGAAAATTCACGAGCTTAATCAATTCGTTGATGATTCACGGGATTGATTTACGATGATTCTCGGGACGCGTTAATGTGAGTGTTTAAAATCCTACAATGTCCCCCCCCCCCCCCCCCACGAGACGAGATCAGGGACATACAATGGATTGTCCAGAATTATTGCGCTTACCCCGCCCGAGTAAAAAATTAGCGATAGGTAATAAACGTGATAATATCGTAAACAGAATTTAATTAATGATCCGGCAGCATTCTCACACGATATGATCCACGAGTCACGTCTTAAACGATTGTAGATCGACAAATTTATTATCATGCTGAGTGTGTGATGCGTGCATAGGCAGAAGGAAAGACGCGGCGGTTTACTTAAGTGATTGCGGTGTGTATAACACGTGAAGCATATAAACGTCGACACCGTGGTGTACACATAATATGCATACCTCTATATAAATATACTATATATATATATATATATATATTATTACAATCCGCGGGGAGACTGTAACGAAGGATAATCAAAATGTACATGTGTTTAAACGATACGATTAAGGATACGGTGTCCCATATCATTATAAAAAGAAAATTCGGTGTTAACGATGTAGACGTTTAAGGGATGTCAACGAAAGTTCAATCGAAAATTTATTTTCACAAGTCCTTCGAAACGAAATTCTTGACGGCGATATACGTACGTAGTTCTTACATTAGTAATTTCGTTTCGTTACATCAGTGAACTTCGTTTTTTGTCCGTATATACGTATATTTTTCGTTGATTCTTTTTTGTAAATATTGGACCTCTGTAAAATGTCAGGCTCCGACTTTCCTTTACGAAAACTTTTACTTGTTCGTCATTGTAATGTCCGATCTTTAAGATCCAATAGTTTGGACAAGTCTTACGATTCCCCTGAGGGTTCCTTTTGCAATCCGTAAACGGCAGACTTGGTCGAGAAGGTGTGCAGGAGTCGCGAACTCGCGAGCGCCTGAGCACACCCGAAGAAAGTAATTTTTTACTTAAAAAAAAAACACACAGAGAGCGGGAAAGCATACCGGCCCGAAAAAAAAGAGAAGAAAAAAAAGACACTTTAATTACGGTTGTGCTGTTCACACATCTTATGTCGATATAATCGCTACATCAGTCTCTGAACGCCTCGAACGCCAGCGACACGCCTCGCAAGACTCATAAATGAGACGATTGTGCCTTCGCGGGGGCTACGTCAGATATATCGTAGAAAAAGGAAACAATATTTCATCAGTAATCGGCCTAGAAACATATCCGAGATATCAAGAATATTAAACTGTACACAAATTCGAACTTTGCTGTAAAACAAATTACGCATTACTTCATATGGTCTCTGCGTTTTGACTATTATGCCAAAACTCGTATATTGTGTGAGCTTAATGATGCTATGCATTTGCCAAAGTCGTTAATATTTTAATTGATACGCATCTTGCAATGCAATTAAATTTTGAAATTTCTAAATATTAATTCATTCTTTTTGTTTCGCGAGCGAACGATATTAGTTTTACGAATCCATGTTGAGGAAATAAATTCAAGATATGATCTTAACAAATGACGTAAACCGAAAGTACAAGTGAAAGAGATATTTGTAGCGAAGGTAAAGGAAATCGGCGGAACTTTCGACGAAAAAAAAATCATAAATTAATTCGAGCGAATACTAAATTTCATCGAAAGTTTCCTCATATGAAGATTATCGCATGGACAATCTTCTCATACGAATGCAATCGTCTATACTTTAGATGGAGGACTTCTCTCCTTTGTACGTAGTTGAGCGCATTCTAAAACAAGTTTTCTACTAGCCTTCGAAGTGACCTAATAACTATTACGATCATTAGTATCGATGCCATCGTTACTATTACCACTATCGCTGCTGCTTATTCTCTTCTTGGTCATTGTAGATAAATTGATACTTATTAGAGCTAAAAATGAGAATTTATATTTCGTAACAGCATTAGTTTCACACTGTCAGTGATTTTTACTAATAAAATTACAAATGACAAATTAATCTTTTGTATTTTTAAATTATTATCTTTTCATTAATTGATTAATTGAATAGATCAGGCCTGTATTATTCTTTTTTAAACATGTTTTTTATAATTCTTGTAAGACTAAAATATCAATTATTTAATTAAATACTTTTTTATTATATATATATATACATATATATACATATACACACACATATACATATAAATTTAATATTTTGATATTATATCTATTACACTAATTATATTATATTTATTTATATAATATTTAAATAAAAATAATTACAATTAATTTTTTAATTTATAATTACCCGGGAAAAAATTTTTTATATAAAAACATATAAAAATATATAATTACATGCAAAATATGTCCATATATATTCATATGTTTTTTTCCTTTATAAAATTATTTTTTAATACAAAAAAATGATAATAATAAGAAGAAAATATAAAAAATAATTAAAAAGATAATTTTTACATTGTTTTTTTTTTACAAAAAATCAAGTTTAAAGTAATGAGAAAAATTGCTCATATATAATCATATATAAATAATTAAAAATATATAATTATATGTGAACAATTTTTTCTCATTTCTTAAAACTTAATTTTTTGTAAAAAAAATAATGCAAAAATTATTCTTGTAATTATTGTTTATGTTTTCTTAATATTATTATCATTTTTCTTGTATCAAACAATAATTTTACAAAGAAAAGAAACATATATGAATATGTATGGACATTTCGCATTTAATTGTGTATAATTATATATAATTATATATTTTTATATATGTTCTTATATGAAAAATTTTTTCCCGGGTAAATGTACAATTATATTATATTTATACGTTTATCTATGTACTTAAAACATTCTGAGAACAAAAGATTAAATTGTCCACGTTCGCTACTCTCCGCTCATTTCACGTGACTCTGAAAATCTTCTAGCAGTTTTCGACGAAGTTCGAGCTTACAATGAAATCCTTACCCTGTAGTAAAAAATCTAGACACTTGTCATCTGCTCAAATAGAGAGCAACTACAATTTTTCTACGATACAGAACGCTAGCACCTTTAATGTAGAGCATAACTCGAGTCTGTTTCACTATTGTCTTACGTCTATAATTATGACGAACACACATATGTACACGCATACAGATATACATACACGAAGCACACACAAAGACAGACGGACAGACAGACAGGCAAACAACACACAAATACATGCAAATACGTTGTATCAATCTTGACAATCGAAACTATTGATTCAAACTTACGCTGTGGATCTCTAGATAATATGTCGTGTACTTCTTACAATTCATATTATATATACTGTATGGGCCGTGTGTAAAATATTCCTTGGGACGAACATATACACATCGCTGATTATTGCGTAATTATATATTTGGTATATTGTAAAATTAATCAGGTCAATCAATCGCAAATAGAAACGTCCCCCCCCCCAAAAAAAACATAATTGATAAATATATTTGAAGGAGAAGTAGGCTTCCTTCCTCTCGAGATGAGATGCAGGTATATTAGCACGATTGGTCAACTCGTTGAGAACCGCGCTGTTAATTAAGAGTTAAAAGCAACGGCCTCTTCCCTTACATATCTGTGTTGTACTCGTTCTAACGTCTAATTGTAAGTGTCAGGGACAATCTCACGGAAGTGCGCGCGTGTCTTCAAACGTGGATCAAACAACAATGGCAAGCTCTCTAGCCTGCGTAGCAGGAAGTGTGCTCGTATCGGCGTTTCGACGACGCAAGTCGATCTTGTATCTCTGCTTTTGAGTTTGTTCGATTCTCAATTAACGCTGTATTATTGATGCTAAAATCTTAATGAAAAATAGATCGCTAAATAAGCACGCGATCTGTTATACTTTACTTTGTAACGAAACGCTGTGCGAGAGAAGAATTAAGAAACTAGCCATTTACCGATTTCTTTTCTTTTTCATTGCTCATTTCGGTGAGTTTCGTGAACGTTATAATTTCCATTTCTTGTTCAGTCACTTTATCACGTTTCGCGAGAAAAGACGTCTCGCGGCGAGTTTAAGCGATCGGCGGTAATGTTTGATCGCGATCTCCGTTTTTCAACAGGGAGTGCTCAAGTACGGCCTAAAATCATGTTCAAACGAGTCGCGGAAGGAATGCTTGATCCTCGTAGACGCGCGATTAATTGTTACATACGTACACCTGTAAGTACTAGCCGTTAAACTGATGATTTGTAAAATTGTGTAATTAAAAACGAAGCGAGTGGCTTCGAAAGGAAAGGAGAGGAGAAAGACGAAAAACGGAATTGCACGATGAAAGCTTTTAAACGAGTTACAATAATACATTCGGGACCCAAATAATTTTCGACCGCAGAACAATTAGGGGACTGGTAGTTAAATGTGTTTAGCGATAATTAGCCTGCAAAAGTTAAATTAAATTAAACTCGACTAGAGCGATCCGTCGTTTAAAAAAACAAAAGATTCCCTCTTCGATTAGCAGCAAGTTCTTGAACTAATCGATCTGCTGTCACGTTCTATATGATACCGTTTCGCTCGAGACAGCTCGAGATTCCATATGCTGAAGCAATCGAACCTGTTCTTTCCAATATTCTCCGCGTTTCGTCTTTCTAATATAACGCTGTCGTTATAGTGACTGTAGAAACTTATAAAATTTAGAACTTATATAAAAGATTAGACACGTTAAGAAATTCTGCCATTTTCTCATCAGCCATAGGGATGGCAGTTAGAAAAACGTTTCGCTGATGTACAGCAAGCTGATTTCCTTCGATCGTGACACGTGTTGTGAGCTGTCAAAAAGTTTAGAAATTTATATACAAAATTTTATTTATTTAAAAAACTTTATGCGTAGTGAGTACATGAAGTAGCGAGTATAAACTGCACTTTTAGAAATTGTTGATATCCGCTTGCTCTTAAACGAAAATTAAGAAAGAAAAATTTACTAAAACTTTATTTTGAATATTAATCTTTTTAAGGGCATTAATATTAAAGGAACACATCCATATATTTATAAGTCATATAAATTTAATACAATCACTTCTTAGCTATAAAATCTAAATTGTACGTATTTAATGATTTTAAAGTGACAACTATCTCTTCTGACATATCCGTATAATTTTTATTGATTCAATCTCTGATATCCCTTTTTGAATGTAATAAATGGCTGACAACGTGTCGGGAAGTACTGAAGAATATCAGCGGTAAATAGAAATATACTATGGCCTTGTAAAGTCTGTACAAAAAGGGCAAGTGTGTCGATGATTCTTCTTTGTTTCATTATATATAGAATATTATCAGAGATTAAAATTCTCCTATAATTTTCACGAGCGATACGCGTGATTGCTCTGTGCTCGCGTACACTTTCACGAAAGTGATTCGCGAGGAGAAAATAAAACGCAACACGGGAAAGACACCCTTAAGACGTAGCTAAAAAGATGTAGATACGATATGTTGTCACACATATATCAAACTCAATGTGATGTTCCCTGCATGTTGAATGTTGATCGTCACGTATGTGGATGTAGAGTCACAGAGTGTGATAGAATACGGGTTAATCAAGAGTATGGATAATTAGCGGTTAAGCGAACTGCGGTATAACTTTCTTTCTAATGATTTTGTGGCAATTAGTGATTACGAAGCAATCTTGGCTTGATTAAACGTTTGATTGATAATGCGAGGAAATTTCTGAGCAGAATGAAATTTATTCTCAGTACAACATTCTCGTACACAAATCTGTGTCTACTGAAATTTTAGTTTTATAAAAAAGGACGCTCTCCATGAATGAAAATGTTCTCTTAAATGAACATGATATTTTAATTAATCTTAAGCTTAAGAACTTTATTTTTTTATAAAAGAAGCTCTTGGTAGTAATTAAAAATATTCTAAAACAACTTTTAAAGTAGTACTCTCAATTTTTTTTTATTTCCATAATGCGAAATAAAGAAATAATACAAATATTATCTCAGAAGTTTCTCACAATCGATCGAATCAAAGTTTATCTTAATGAGTGAGAAACTAGCTTAAATTTTAATTAATTAATTGTTATTAACAAGCAAGTTGTGTCTCTCTCCTCATTCGCATCATTGAAAAAAGCCACGAAAGTATCTAATATGACTTCCACAATTTTTTCTACGAAGAAAGTTCTCTAAGAATTACACAAAAAATGAAATTTTCTATTTAAAGATATTAGCGGATCTTGCGATATTTATTACGCCTATTTAAAAATCTTAGTTTATTCTGAAACACGCGTGTCTTGTATTTAATATATCCACTGTGTAATGATGAAATGCCGAGCATCGTTGCATACATTCGGTAACAACTAATGATTTCTAATCGCGAATCAATGGCAAATAAGAATAAGAATAAGGCAAGAATAGTAAAGGGAAACGAGGAAATATAATTAAATAAATAACGTAGCAATTAGAATAGACATTATTATTAACTTCTTTAATGGGGAAAAAGTTGTATTTTTCCATATGTCGGAAGAGCGAGAAAGAGAGAGAGAGAGAGAGAGAGAGAGAGAGAGAGAGAGAGAGAGAGAGAGAGAGATCTATTATTTCATTGTTGTAAATGCAATTATTTAATGAACTTGATAAGTGTCGAAAGAGAAAAAATGTTAAGGCCAGAGTCGCACGATAGTGCTAAAAAAGCTGTGGAAACACAGGTGATCGCCGCGATGCAGAAGCAAGGTAATGCGTTTTCCTAATTATATATATGGATCAATTGACGATGTGGAACCCGGCATAACTTAAATTATAAATTATTGCATTTAGTGCCTAAAACTAAAATAACAGTCATTTATACTTCTGTTTAATACTCCATTGTACGTGC